GCAGGAACTGGCTCTGTCTAGAATAATGAAGGACTAGGGGGGACATGATAGCAGTCTTCCGATATTTGAGGGGCTGTCCCAGAGGAGAGGGCATCAACCTATTCTCCAAAGCATCTGAAACACAGTAAGAAGCAATGGATAGAAATTTATTGAGGAGGGATCCAACAAAGAACTGAGAAAATTCCTGATGAGAACAATTAATCAGTGAAACGGTTTGCCTCCAGAAGTTGTGGGTACTCCCTCACTGGAGGTTTTTAAGAAGAGAGCCATTTATCCATAATGGTATAGGACAGGGGTGTCAAACTGCCAGCCCATGGACCGGTTGCATTATGCGCCCACCCCAGCTCCGGCAATGCGAAAAAAGTCATGATACATCGTGACGCAGTGAGTTTGGCACCCGTGGTATAGGGGATCTTGCTTGAACAGGGGGTTGGACTAGCAAATCTCCAAGGTCCCTTCCAAGTCTGTTATTTTGTATAAACTTTGTCTTTAGTCTGTGTACACTAAGAATGGCAGCAATAAACTCTCCCTGCTAGATATTTAAGAATCAACATTATGTTTACAGGTTTGGTTTCAGGAGTATTTTGGCAAAAACAAAGGAAAAATGCTTGAGGGGCTCCCATATCAACACCTGGAAATGCCTCTCAGTAGTAAAATTGATCTTAGTATCCCTGCAAGCAGTTGAATAACCAAACCAAGTTAGGGCCCTGAATAGATATGAAAACACTAATGCAGGCTATATATATATATATAGTGCACAAGACACAGGAAAATCTGGGTTTATTGCAGATCTGCAAACATGATCTCATTTGCAACTACATGATGAACATCAAACCATCTGGCCTCACAAGTTAAATTCAACCACTTTGTAGCAATAGTTTCCATGAATTCATGAGACATAAAATTTACCACAGCATACCATAAAGGGAATGGCCAATTGTATCAACAGATATCTCAGTCTACTAAAGAAATACTCAAAACGGGTTGCTTTAAAAATACTTTTAATTTTTAGAAAATACAGCATTCAAAACGGTATGCCCTGCCACCCCCATAATTTCCAAATTTACATCATCATATAGCTCAGTCAGGAATGTGCATCTCCCAAACTCCAAACCTTGATTCTTATGGAAGTTTTGATAAGTTACTAGCATGAATAAAGAAACAATCACTCCTAACTTGCTTTTCATCTGCAGCAAGTTAAATGCAATGGACAATGAAAACTACTTGCAGTGTTAACCATGTGGTCAATTAGACATTATTTTAGTGTGCTAGAGATGTCAGGGTAAAACTATTGTCATTTCAATTGTGTGCACACAGGAATATAGTACTTAAGAGCTAATTAGCAAGGTCTCGCTATAAACATATAATTCTTGAAAAATTATTTTGGGACTCCTATAAAACTTTATTTCTATAATGAGATGTTCTTGCAATCACTCAACATTTTGGAGTATTGGAGCTAATAAATGTTCTGATTAAGTATGCATCCTGGATATAAATAGCAAGATACATTCTGATCCAAGCTAACAAGTTCAGAGACTATTCCAGGATAGGGAGTCATTTCTACATTTTTGTGGAAGTTTTTTGCTACTTGGAAAGTGTGTTGATGGTAAGTTTGTAAGATCACATAACTGCAAAGAAAACAAAGTTCTGGAGTCTAGTTGAGTGTTAAGTCTCCCTATCCTGGAATAGTCCTGGAATTTGTTAGCTTGGATCAGAAAATAGGGTGAGGTTGGGGGAGTCGGTATTGATAGAGTCGACAGATGTATGATTTGCACACTGCATAACTGAGTTTTGTTGGTCTTCCAGTCAACAAATAAGAAAAAGGGTTCACCAGCCACGAACACAATATGAATATGCATAATGTGGCAGCAGCTACTAAGCTCAGATGGACAGCTGAGAAGCAGCTCTTTGCAAGGCTGAGTGACTCAGTGTTGCACTGTGAAGGGAAAAAGATGGGTTCTGAAGGGTCAGCTTGAGAAGCAGGCTGATCACCTTCTTTACTTCATGGAAGTTCTCATTTACCACTGCTCATGCATTTGAGAACACTGATTGATCCACTATCGTTACATGGTGATATTTGGCATTAATACCACAAAGGAATAATTTCAGACTAATTTGATGAAGTAAAAGATGTAAAACTAAAACGAAGGCAGTGCTTGCTTACTTTTCTGCCACATTTGCTTGGATCACATGGATTAATTAATGCAAATAGTGAAAACAAGGAAAATGCCAACAGTGGTCATCCCAGGATGCTTAAATATACCTTAATATCTCATCATGAACCCAAGGAAATGTGAGCTTAGGATCAGAGTAACTGCTGTTATCAGTTTTGGAATGGCAAATATTTGTTCTTCTGCATCAAAATATAATAGGGACCCAAAAAATTCTGCCTCTTATTGGTGGGGAGAATGCAATACATGGAACAAAACATACATGACAAACTTAACCTAAAATATAAAGCTTGCCTGGGGGGGGGGGGGAAAGGGCAAAATAACAACTCATATTACAAGAGTGTAGCACTCTCAACAAAAACATAGAATGAAAGTAGCAAAGCTATCTCTGCATATATGATGCAGAAAATGCAGAGGTCCAAATCCAAATATTACAGAATATTATAATCTCTAGATTGAGTTGAACTGATTGAGATTTGGTCACAATAAAAATAAAGTTATTAAAGAAATCATTGTGCCAAAGATCAGCAATGTAGAGCCTTCAAAATGTCCAAAGAACCACCCATTTTTTTTTTAAAAATAAAATCATAGCACTGACCAGTGTTATGCTGAAATTTTGTATTTCAGTTGCTGATCCCTGCATCGTGCCTACTTAAAGCAGAATCTTGCTGTCTGAACATGCTTTAGGACAAACTTTGAATTTAATGATCGTCTTAGAATTATATATTAGATGCAAGATCTGTTTATTTCTAAACACTACAGAGACCGCAATTATAAAGACATCTGTTCCAACGACTCCCAATAAACTTAAGATGCAAAAGATGAACAGTTTAAAAAAAAAATCAGGAAAAATTAACATTTAAGACTTTTCCTCATCCATGAAAGGATGGCACATACCATCATCTCCATCACAGACATTTTCATCTAGATTCCTGTAGTGAGTAGGGGATTGGATCTGAATGTCTAAATGGCCTCGTCCTGTTTTGAGAATCTGTGATTCTATTTTTTTCATGCAGAATATTTGGAATTTGGCAAAGCCCACCCTTTCTTTCTTGAATTGCAGATCAGTTCCATGGGGGAAACACCCAGCTTGCTCTTATGCAAATGCTGCTCAACTCAAGGCCCCCAGACTAATACCCTACAGTTGGCTCTGTAAAACAAGGCTTGTAATTTCAGAGGGAATTGTTTGCTTGCGTGAGGTAATGATTTTTCAGAAGCTCCCAATTGTGGCTTGAGCTTTTTGTGAGTGGGTCGCTGTCTGCTTCTCCTTTAGACTTTCAAAGCTGATCATCAAGGCTCTTCCCAAACTCCTTGGCAGTTAAAATGCCCATCTATCATGTACATGGGTAATAATTTCATGCCATGAGCTATCCTTTCCTTCCACCTGGTTCTCATGGATCTAAAACAATTAGTCTTGGCAGACAGTGTCTAACACATGGAATGAACGGTCCTCTGGGCAAAGTACATTCTGTGAAAAACAGAGCTCATCAGCATTCAGCGACCAATGGAAGTGCTAATGTTCCTTTGGCCTGGCAAAGCTCTATCACATAACTAAAGATCTATGACAAGGGGATGCAATGGTTGGGCGTCATGATCTAGGTAGGACAGGGGTAGGCAACCTTGGCTCTTTTATGACTTGTGGACTTCAAGGCATACAATTGAAGTCCACGAATCATAAAAGAGCCAAGGTTGCCTACCCCTGATCTAGGATGAGGACAAACAGTTGAGTAAATATGAGATGGCCAAGGATCAAAGAGAGAGAGAGAGAGAGAGAGAGAGAGAGAGAGACAGACAGACAGACAGACAGACAGACAGACAGACAGACAGAGACACACACAGAGAGAGACAGAGACAGAGAGAAACAGAGAGAGAAGAGAAGAGAAGAGAAGAAATCAGAAAGGAATCTATTGTCTCAGTAGTGCTGTATTAGGCTGCAAGCTAGCACATACGGAAAGCTCGGCCTGGGAAAGCATATGAGAGCTACCCGTGAGGTGATTCTTGCCATCTTGATGTAGTGAAGTGGAAATGCTGCCAATAAGGGCAGAATAACAATTATGCTCCCGGTTCCTAACTGTCCATGTCCACTCCTAGGCTGTAATATCACACAATGAGTCATCAAGACACAAGGCAGGGAAGAAGGAAAGGCAGTGTAATCAGCTTCCTGCAAATCAGAAAGGAAGCAGAACATCTTTTAAGAGAAATCCAACCCGTCATTGGATTTGTGATCGGTATTTTTTCCCCACAAACAGTAAGGCCTAGAATGGAATTATTAGGACTCTTGAACAAAACGAGAGTTTTACTTTTTCAGTAGCTTGGGAAACAAAAGAGTTTCCTAAAAATCCAAACCGCCTACCTCTATTTTGGAGGAAATCTAATGTTTAACACTTCCCCCATCCCCTCAAACTCCACCCTGCTTCAAAAACAATCCCTCCACCCTGCTTCAGAAACAAGGCTCTTTGCCTAAACTAGTAGGCAACTGACCGCTACATCAAATACTAGGGAAACAGACTCCCTTGGCAAGGGAATGGCATTAACAGGATGGAGTGCCATTAAGTTATTGTTATCATACAAACACTGCCTCTCCTTGACGGGGTCACAGCAGCCAAGATAGAAGTTTATAACTCTCTCAGAGGAGAGGCATACAAAGCTCTTTGAGTGGTGCAGATTCCAAGTAAAACAGGCCACAAGATGAAGCAATAACAGGAGCATCTGCTGTAAGAAATATATAAAAAAAAAAGACCAAAAAGCTCTAGGGCACCCCTTCCCCCTCGATTTATATCACCACGGAGCAAAAGGAAAGAAAAAAAGAGCATGCCGTCTTCTTCCTCTTCCTCTCTGTCCCCCGATTCCAACCCTCCCACCCTGTTAATGAAACCGATGGACATGACTTTGAGAAAAGAAGTAAGGAAAAGGCTCTGGAGTTCAGTGGACAGGCTCAAATGCAGAGAAGTGGATTTCCTTGGAGCTGCAATGCTGGAGACTGGGAGACATTCACAGCTCTTTGCTGGCCCGTCCGCCGGGTTTAACTGTCTTCTCCGTTCTCGCCTGGTCCTTTGATAAGTCGCTTCTGTCCCCTTTTGCCCACAGGACCCTTTGGCTTGGCAAAAGCCTGCTTGAAGGCATGCTGCTTGGGGTGGACCTCATCGTACAGGAACTCGGCAGTCAACTCCGCTCCATCATCAATTTCAATCTGATACACAAAAGAAAGGAAAAGTAGTCTTAGATCTGGCCACTGAGAACCTGAAACCCAACCGAGATTGGGATTTTCTTCTCAGTAATGGTATTCCATTAAATAATAATAATAATAATAATAATAATAATAATAATAATAATAATAAGAAGAAGAAGAAGAAGAAGAAGAAGAAGAAGAAGAAGAAAGAAGTAGTAGTAGAAGTAGAAGTAGTACTACTACTAGTAGTAGTAGAAGTAGTAGTAGTAGTAGTAGTAGTAGTAGTAGTAGTAGTCATAGAAAATGATAAAGTTAAACTGCTCTGGGACTTCAGAATCCAAACAGACAAGCACCTGCAACATACCACCCCAGACTTAACAATTGTCGATAAGAAAGACAAAAAAGTCTGGATAGTGGACCTGGCAGTGCCTGGAGACAGCAGAATAGACGAGAAAGAACTGGAGAAGATAACAAAATACAAAGACCTACAATAGAAATAGAAAGACTGTGGCAAAAGCAAGCAAGGGTAGTACCAATAGTAATAGGCGCCTTGGGTGCAATCCCAAAACAACTGGAGCACCACTTGAACACCATTGGCATTGACAAATTCGCCATTAGTCAATTGCAAAAGGCGGCCTTACTAAGAACTGCTTCCATCCTGCGACGATTATCTGCAATAACATCAAACATTCACATCTGCCTATCCCAGGCCCTGGGTAAGGACTCGATAGGTAGTCAAAATGCCAAATCCAGTCTGAACATCTGGCTGACTGTGCGATGATCCATAATAATAATGATGATGATGATGATGTTGGAAGGGACCTTGGAGGTCATCTAGTCCAACCCCCTGCTCAGACAGGAAATATCATTTCAGGCAAATGGCTGTCCAGTCTCTTCTTAAAAACTTCCAGTGTTGGAGCATTCACCGCTTCTGAAGGCAGGTTGTTCCACTGATTAATTGTTCTAACTGTCAGAAAAATTTCTCCTTAGTTCTAGGTTGCTTCTCTCTTTGGTTAGTTTCCATCCGTTGCTTCTTGTCCTGCCTGTTAGGACAACCCTAACCCTAACCCTTTCTCTTCCCCCATAGCTTTCCAGCTTCCACTCTGGTCCACTCTACTCCTACTTCACAGGGCCATTTCTAAACTTGTTTTATTTTCTGGACGTGAACATTTCTTCTTCTCATTAGAGATGAGCTCATTAAAGTATTTTCTTACTTTTCATGTTGTCCATGCTGTTGGCGCACCTGTTTTCTGTCTCTAGCATGTCCTTCCAACAACCCACCTGGTGGCTTCTGAGTAATTTTCTCATAATCAGTCTTCAGATCCACACATCACCCTCTTTCATACTGCTTGAAACTCTAAAAGTCTAGCTAGATGGAAGAGAATTTGTTTTTCTTCAAGATGCTTATGAAGCCAGAGGAAAAAGACTTACCTTCTTTGCAATTTCTAGGCAGAAATCTTGCTCTATGGAGTCAAGCAATCGGCTCTTGCAGCTAGAATACAGCATACGCTCTTTGATGCTACATTTGTAACCAGGCATGGAGTAGATAAACACTAGGAGAAAGAGGGGAAAAAAAGATCAGGTATTCTTGGGCCCCTGTAAAATTAATTCCTATGTTGAAATAATGACCATGCATGCCATAAGAGCACGCGATAAAACAAATAAATACAGTTGTATTTGTATACTGTTCATATATTGCATAGATGAAATGATACCAATTCTTATTATATCTAAAATCTATTGCCCATGAATTGGGCATTGATTTTAGAAACAAATATTCTCATTAAAACTTTTCCTATGTGCTGGGCTGTGAAGTCTCTCTTTTGTTTTAGGACTGGCATGAAGTTGCTTAAATATCTATGGAGAATCTCAGTCATCCAGGTCAGGGCTTTTCAACCAGTGGTACGGGTACCACCTGTGGTACATTAGCACCTGGCAGGTGGTACGTGAGCGTCCTAGAAAAGTAGCGGGGGAGGGGAATGAGCTGAACCGGTGGCAGCACCGCACAAGCCTGAGTGAGAGATGGCTGGAGCTGCAGGGCTGTCAGGGCTCAGCGGAAGCGCCAGGCTCAGCGCCAGGCTCCAGCTGGAGCTCAGCGCTGATCCTGGCACTTCTGCTGAGCCCTGAAGAAGCACCAATCAGCTGGAATGTTGCAGCATCTCCAGGGTCTTGTGATTTACATTCAGATGCTTGGCAACTGATTCATATTTATGACGGTCACAGTGTCCCAGGGTTATGTGAAGTGACCAAAACCTGCTGCAACCACCCAGCAGACCGGGGGGGGGGGATAAAAACCAAACACCCACCACCCCACCCCCGCTGCCAATCCTCAACAGAAATGCTCACAACAATGAAAACCTCGGACAGGAGGAAGAGCGCGGCCGGGCGGGCAGGCAGGCAGGTGTCTTGCTCGGCTGTGGCTTGGGAGGCACTATTTTCAGTGCCATTGTAACTTCAAACAGACACTAAGCGAACTGTTGTAAGTCGAGGACTACCTGTACTTTATCACTTTTTTCCTTTTTTTTTTTTGTCATCAAGTTTTTGACACCTTGCTAGGCGACTGGTGGTACTCGGATATTACCATATCCTAAAAGTGGTACAATGGGTGAAAAGGTTGAAAAGCCCTGGTCTAGNTATGTGAAGTGACCAAAACCTGCTGCAACCACCCAGCAGACCGGGGGGGGGGGATAAAAACCAAACACCCACCACCCCACCCCCGCTGCCAATCCTCAACAGAAATGCTCACAACAATGAAAACCTCGGACAGGAGGAAGAGCGCGGCCGGGCGGGCAGGCAGGCAGGTGTCTTGCTCGGCTGTGGCTTGGGAGGCACTTTTTTCAGTGCCATTGTAACTTCAAACAGACACTAAGCGAACTGTTGTAAGTCGAGGACTACCTGTACTTTATCACTTTTTTCCTTTTTTTTTTTTGTCATCAAGTTTTTGACACCTTGCTAGGCGACTGGTGGTACTCGGATATTACCATATCCTAAAAGTGGTACAATGGGTGAAAAGGTTGAAAAGCCCTGGTCTAGAGGATAATGAAAATACCCACTCCATGTCCAAAGGGCAGAGTGAAACCTTTCCTCAGCTGTAGATGTGGTTACAGCTTACCTACTGACTCCAGATAATCTCCCTCATGAGAGTGTTTATACAGAAAGAAGTGGTAGCGAGCAGAATCCTGAGGGATTCTTCTAGGCAGATCAACCATTTCTGTAGCCTTTGTGTGGACCAGCTCTATGGTCTCCTGTTCCAGGTTCAGCTTCTGTTGAAACAAAGGCAAGAGAAAACCGAAATAACAATGAAGTGGAAACTCTTAACAGCGCAATGTGTGCAAGCAGAGCGTGCACAGAAATGAGCAAAACTTGGGACAATTACACTGAAAGCCCTCCCCTTCCCCCCAAGAAACCCTTACCAGCTGGATGTAATTGATTTTCCTCTGCTTTAGTAGCTGAATGGCCTGTTGCGCATCTGGCTGCAAAGGGAAAGCCAGGCCTTGGAGAGTCTGGTGTTTGCTTTCTACGCTGATTTCGGTTTTGACCTGGCAACAGGGGACAAAAAACACAGACTGAAGCGAAACCCTGCATGTATGTATTTTCCACTTTTGTCCATCAAAGGAAATTAACCCAAGAAAAGTAGAGAGGTAGGAGAAAGATGGTAATGTAACAGACAAACCATGCTACTAGCATCCAGAAGTATAGGAATCCTTTCAAGAAAAAGCCATTGTAATGCTTTTCCTTTCCTTAGCCTTCCGTGTAGGACTAGACCAGGGGTAGGCAACCTTGGCTCTTTTATGACTCGTGGACTTCAACTCCCAGAATTCCTGAGCCAGCCAAGCTGAGAGGAAAGGGAGAGGTTTCCAAGCTGAGCCATGCTGGCTCAGGAATTCTGGGTGTTGAAGTCCACGAGTCATAAAAGAGCCAAGGTTGCCTACCCCTGGTTTAAAGGATCTCTCTCTCTCTCTCTCTCTCTCTCTCTCTCTCTCTCTCTCTCTCTCTCTCTCTCTCTCTCTGTGTGTGTGTGTGTGTTTGTGCACGGATTAAAAAAATCTGTAAAAGAGAGAGGTGGGATGGACTGAGATGGATATTGAGAACCCTCCAGTCAAGTCCAAATAGAACTAAGTTTATTGTGTTGAATGGGGCCGTTTATCAGATAAGTGTGTTTATGATAGCAGCCTTAGGAAGAAGGGGGAATACGTGAAGGCAGGAAATAGCCAGAATGAGTGAGGCTGGTGGCTGGATGCAAAGAGGAAGGTCTCTTGTGCTTTATTAGTTGGGAAGAAAAAAAGGAAATCCATCAAGTGTAGTTTGCATGACCTGCAGAAATTCCATTCTCTACTCAACTGTTAAAGCCACCCTGCCTTCTTTTGTCTCTGCCCAAGCAAGAATGAACAGAAAAGCTAGATAGGAGATGCCAGTACACGCCGACAGGCATTTACACAGATGTAAATCCCAGAGTTAAATGGGATTACATCCACATTTACATGCCTTTGATTGTATTGTGTACAGAATTTCTTTCTTGGGCAAGCGACTTATCCTTCGACCACCCACATCGTCCATGGAAGTTTCTCAGATTTCTAAAAAGGCACTTATATGTTAGACAGCCCTTTCTAGACCAATGCAATGTGATGATGCGTAATACAGAAGAAAGTCTCATATTTTGGAAGTGAACAGAAGATCCAAGATATGAATGACTAGCTTTATAAACATTCTGCAGTTGATACTGGCCACTACAAAGGGGGGGGGGGAATCTTTTTCTTTCGAATGGCAGCTTGTAAGGAAAGTAGGAAATAATTTTTTCATCATACACTTCAGTAATGATTAACCAATTTTATAAGCTAAAGAGGTTAATGCTGAATAAGATACATACTTTTTAAAAGCTACCTCTTTGGGTCACTTCTGGCAAGAATCAGTTCATTAGGTGAGAAAGAACGACATTTTTAAAAAGCAACATCAACATAATTTTTTTCTTCTTAAAATAATTAACAGTACAAAAGCAGCTTTATAGATGCCACACAGAATCAACAGAGGGAAAATCATTAGATTTTAGTTTCATGCTTCATAGAGGAGAAAAACTAGGTCACATGCTTCACTGAGTATCAAACAAAATATCACTTGTAAAATAGAACTGCTAGATCTACTTTTCATCAAGTGCTGGAAGTGACCCTTTCAGATATATGAAAAATTTGCATGTTTTATTTCTAGTCTCTAGAATAGTCTAGTCTCTTATTTCTAGTCTCAGTTATCCCCAGTAATTTTTATTTTATTTACAGATTTTTACCCTGAAGCAGTTTAGACTGGTTGTTGTTGTTTTTTTTGCCTCCTTCATAAAATTAGACTTCCACCCAGATATAGTCTGGATGAATTTATATGGAAGAGCATATGATTGATACAACTATATCAAAATGATATATACATTAAATTGTATTATTTATTGTAGATGAAGCTAAAGAAAAAGTGTAGATAAATTTGTACCCAATTATAAACTTCTTTATTTTTATATGATGATACCATGTTCATATATTATTAAATATATAATTTGCACCTCTACAGAATAGCACAAGCTATTCACAAAGCTACAAGTGGAAGCCCTGGGCGTCAAATTTTGAGTGTCTGTGCTTTCAGCAATCATGATAGCGAGGTGACCTGGTAGATACCAATTATCCTGATTGAGTTTGTGAATCTTTGAAAAAACAACAACAGAAAACAAGAGGTAAGAGCTCCCACAATGAAAAAAAAAATTATAAAAAAAAATTACCAAAGGTTCTGTATTGATATAATGCTTCTTGACCATTTCAAGCACTATTTATAGTTCTGAAAGACCGGTTAAGTGATTAAACTGGAAGACGTCACTGAATAACCTCAGTTGCTACCTTTGACCAAAGGACAGGGAAGACTTTTATGGTCATAGTTTGCAATAGGTGAATGATTGGTTATCTCAGACAGTAAAGCTCAAATGAGTCACAATAGTTCTAGGATGTTTCTAGCCAAGATAACTAAGCAGGATAGTGAAATTTAATGCAAATTGAGTGTAAAGTTCAGAAGTCTGACCTTTTCTTAGCCAGAACACAGTGCGAGTTGAACATTATGGAGGCAATCTATAAATATTATGTTGAAAAGTCAGTCAGTTGAACATTATGGAGGCGATCTATAAATTTTATGTTGAAAAGTGGCCTGCTCTCTTTCCTTCTAAATTCATCGGCCTGAATTCCTGTCTGTGTTGAGTCTTCCCCATAACAAATTGGGGGATGAGCTAGTTTACCACTTGGGGCTCTGGAGAGGAGTTTGATTGACATGGCCTAATCAATGTAATTTTTTTGTTAGTAACCACATGAGAGTGGATTGACAATGCATTTTTCCAGGGTGTTTTTTAAACTTGACCGTCTAACCTTCAGATGTGGTCTGCCCTGGAACTCTCCCATTTAAGTACGGTACTAGTTAGGCATGACCCTGCTTAGCTTTGTTTGAAACTGTATTCCCACCTGAACCTTATGGGACAGACAGAGATATTTCTCTTGCTACTCTAAAAAAAATAAAATAAAACCTTGGATTGATCATAAAGGAGTGCAATTAAATGCAAGAGGACTCTACAAATTAGAATGCGGGAGGCACGTGAAGCAACAGAAATCTGGTAGCAAATCTAAATCTTTTGCGTTTGATGTACCTGTATTTTTCTTCATTTTCTAAACAACATTAACAGGATCACAATATGTGGGGAGGATTTGTATCACAGGCTTTGCCCACGTTACAATCATAATGAAAAATTCCCAGCACCCTGCTCTTCATGCCTGCCAATATACTGTAAACCTCTCTCATCAGAACAGTATTTTCATTGGGAGGGAAGAAAATAATGTCAACCCTTTCTCTTTATATTTTGTGGTCTGAATCCTAATATTAAAGAAAAAAAATGAGATGCAATCGGCCATCCAATCTTGTTTTGGCTCTAATTTCTAATCGGTGCGATCTTTTTCATAGCTTTTATATATCAAGCATCCATAATCAGATGGGGATTGTAATAATACAAGTGGAAGCTAAAAGGGATGCAAATCCAGACTCACCTCCTTGAACCAAAATTCAGAGAAATGGAGCCCTTCCTAACATCACGTACAGACATATTTATTACACCGTGTAACTAACCAGGATCACCCAAGAGGCTTACTACATTTATCAGTGTGAGATAGAATTTACTATATGTTTTAATTATTTAAATTTTGATAAATTCTCTAAGATTCTTCAAATTAAAAAAAAACTTTCCGATATATTTATTGAAATAAACTGAATTTTTGCATTCTTGTAGCAACCCAAAATTAAATATGCTAGTAAATTAACTAGTAATATATGTTTGCCAAATTTATCAGCATAATAAAAAGAATGGAATTGTTTGGAAGAAATTCAAGGCAAAAAAAAAAATATCTCAGTAACAGTAACAGTCTTGTCTGAGTTTCAAAGCTAAACTTGGTCAGACAAGAATAGTACTTAGATGGGAGATTACAAAGAAATTCCACGTCTGTAGTTCAGGAAGTTAGAAAATATTAAATGGAAGGTAAAGGCAAACCACCTGTATATTATTGCCAGGAAAAGTTCATGGGTGTATCTGCAAACTCACTGGACAACTTAACACTGAGCTTCTCAAGGCTTCTTTTACCTTTTACAAAAAAGCCATGAAATTGAAAAAAGAAAAAAGAACCATTTATCATTGAAGACTTTTAAAAACCACCATGTATGTGCAGTTTACTCTAAAATAAATGCAGAGAATCCATTTTTTTCCCCATTAGAAATTCATATTGTCCTTTAAGTAATTTAACCTTTATACCATATTTCTCTCAAAGCAGTTTAGAGGAAAAAAAAGTTTGCAAACATAAAACCATAAAGCAGGGGTAGTCAACCTTGGCTCTTTTATGACTCGTGCACTTCAACTCCCAGAATTCCTGAGCCAGCTAAGCTGGCTCAGGAATTCTGGGAGTTGAAGTCCACGAGTCATAAAAGAGCCAAGGTTGACTACCCCTGCCATAAAGGAATGATGGATTAGGCTTAAGAACCCAGTGTAGTAGTTAGGCTAAAAACTGGGAGACCATAAGTTCTAGTCCTTCCTTAGGCACAGAGGCAGCTTAGGTGACCTTGGGCCAGATATGTTCTCTCAACCCTAGGGAGGAGGCAATGGCAAACTACTTCTTAAATCTTGCCAAGAAAGCTACAGGGATTTGTCCAGATAGACACCAGGAGTCCAGAAGGTCTTAAAGACATCCCGCCCTCCAAAAAAAAAAAAAAAAAAGGCTTATGGGGACATGAAGCCACATCAATTCTTTCAATAACAGAATACTAAAGAAACAAGAGAGATGTAAAGTTTCTTAGTACTTTACGGCTCTTGTATATTTCTATCTTTTAAGGAATGCTAGAACTACCTATAGTCAGTTCTTGGGATAAAGGATTCAAATCCATTCATAATATTTAATAGCCATTAGATATACTATAATAGCTCAAGAAATTCAAGACTTGGATTTACATATACTTTATTTTGAATTCAGCCACCCGAGAAACATGT